AAGATTTTACATCTCAGGACATAATAAAAAAAATCAGCTGTTCTTCAGAGGGTCATAAAATTAGGTAAATTAAGTTTTTTAAAGTGTGCTTTCATGGATTTAACCTTTAACATGCTTATGTGGCCTGTAGAGTTATGGAGTTTTTCTGAGCACTGCAGGGTTTGAGCACGGAGTGAATATGCTGGGATGTCCACTCCTGGGAAGACCTAGCACACACCTGAATGTTCCAAACCAACAATGTGCCGAAGCCTCTGCTTTTAAAGAGGTGTTCACACTTCCTGAGCACCTCTAAGAATAAACAGTTTCCTGTTACTTACCCTCTAATTCAAGTCAAGACTTTGCAAAGAGTCCCATTAAAACGTCTTTTTCACGCAGCCAAAAGATCAAATAAAATCTCTAACAAACGTAAACTTACAGCAAACAATGCAACAAAGAAATATGACAAAACAAAACAACTCTACACAAAAAGAAATAAGCTAAATTAAAAAGTTTAAAAAAAAGTTTTAAAAAAAAATGAACGAGCATCATCAAGTAAATATCGACATAAAATAAAATGAGCCTTCAATGTGGATCAATGCAGTAAACCGAAACCTCATTCATTATATTTCGTGCAGGGGCTAGCAGAAAAATCTCAAAACACAGCTTTTAGTGAGCACTGATCTAAACGAGCAGTTCTAACTGCTGTGACGTGGCGTTACCTGTACGCCTTTGCTGCTTTGAGCGGCGTGGCTTCGAACCCCACGGGGCAAAAGTAGTGGTTCTGACAGTGGTAAATGTAGGCCATGGACTCGTCCTTCAGGCCTTGTGTCAGTTTCATCAGAGCTCCTTCAGCTGAAAAGAAGAATGAGTTTAATCACTCAAGCTGCACACCTGTAAGAATAACAGCGCTGAGTGGATCAGCTGACTCGCCTGTTTCTCCTGCTGTCTTGTGCTTTCCGTGTGGTTTGTACAGAATATAGGAGCAACCTCGCACTCGGAAGTTGTCGTTGATTTGTCTGAACCACCTGTGAGGAAAACGCACTGACTGCAGACCTGCGCACTCTTTCGATTTTTTTTTTTAAAAAGTAAAAGACGGGAGGTTTGTGTACCGCATCAGTGTAGCGTTGCCGGTGAAAGGACCAAACTTGATTTCTTCAAACGGCGGCTGAAACCCCAGAATATGCAGAGCTTCCTCCTGAGAGATGGGTGGCAGACTGGCAATGCAAACAAACATTTACACTTTTTATTCATCGCCCACACTTCATAAGCTGATTTTTTTAAATATGAGATAAGATGCAGGCTGCTCACTTTCCTGCGCCAAGCGTGCTGTACAGGAAGTTCCAGCAGGAAACCAGCGAGGAGATCCCACAAGACGTCTTATACTGTGGCCGACTGATGCAGTACCTGCAGAAAAATGGATTATAACACAAAAGACAGACTTCTGTTAAGGTTCCTCCCTCTGTTCGGGTCCTCTCCGAAAGAAGACAAGAGCTTGTGGAGAATCACCGGGGTTGCAATGAAAATACTTTTTTTATATGGGGTTTAATTTCTTCAAGTATTCATCGTGGTTTATCAAAATTGCCAGAAATAACAGGAAATGCTGGACTACAGTAGGAAGGTAACAAATATTCACTGCCTTAAATCAATGTGCAACCATTCAGCAGAATGGCAGAGTCTTACTCCAGAAAAAACCCGGAGGACAGAGGCAAACATTTGGCACTGGCCTCACAGCTTTCAGTCATCCGCCTGTGCAATTACTATTTCAGATAAATGAACACTTCTAGATGCAGCTGTCACAGCCACAGCGACAACAAAACGAGACAGCTGTTGTCTGTGCTGTGAAAGAAAAACTCATTCAAATAAACACAAATGCGCTGACCGTGTCCTCGCTCTTTGGTTTCTAAACTTTACTGCCCTTCTTTAGGAAATCCTGACCCCAGGGGACAAAAAAGGGCATTGAGCTGGCTCTAAAGCTCTGCAGTGAAAATGGAGAGTGCAGAGAGTCAAATCAATCTCTCCCCTTTTATCTCAGACAATCAAAAAGCTCCTGGCATGTTTCCATCCATCCTCTACATGACTGCCATCTTGTGGCCACAGTCAGCAGTTGTCGCTAAAGCTGCGCTTATTTCATGCACATTGGAGACCATAGCTCCCACTGTTATATAGTCGTGTCCGTCTCCCAGGACCACTGACCGGAGCTGAGAGGCCAGCAGCTTTTTTCTGATGGTTTGCATATGCACATTTTGGACAAA